ATGGTCTGCATGAAATGTGAAGGATTGACAAGCCGAAGACTAGCAGGCATCCTGCTCATCATCATTGTTCATTGTGATTACAAACACTTTCTCTGCCACTAGACAGGCTGAATAGAATTCAATCCCAAACTGACCAATCAAGAAGATGTCTGTACCAGCCTGGAGGGAGAGCTTACATGAATGCTTTTGTGCCAGACTTAGTAATGTTCCCAAGTTATTTATGAGGTCAGCCTTGGTCATGCCAATGCCTGTGTCCACCAAAGTCAGCATGCACTCCTGAGGGTTGGCCAGTTTTCAGCTTTAATCCTGTCTAACTTGAAAGGGTCTGAGAGGTTCTCATAGTGAATCTTGCAAGCCTAATGCATCAGAAGCATTAGAGAGCAATTCCCAAAGGAAAATATCTTTGTTTGAATAGAAAGTATTGATGATGAGGGTCAAGAGCTGAGCAACTTCTGTCTGAAAGACAAAGGTTTACACCACCTCTTCTCCATGGTGCACTTCCTCAGGATCCTGACAGGAAAGACAAGTAGTACAGAGCAGGGTGAATGTGGAATGTGTCTGATGTTCATGCCAAGCCCGGTCTGTGCAGGCGGGGGATGTGGAGGTCTCAAGAGGTTCTTTCTTCCTTTTCTCGGCTCATGTCAAGGGTCAACATCATGGTTCTAGGAAGTCCCCTCTCTCCCCACACACAATCCTAGCTGATTGCACCATGGCCTGAAGCATGTTATCTTTGCTCTGCTTCCTGTTGAAGCTCTTGCCCAGTCACTTCTCCTTAGTCAAACATTCTCTGTTTCAGTGTTTGTTTACTCTTATTACAATCTCCCCTGACAATATTATATGCAAGAATATTCTGGAACACCCTAATCATCTCCAGATATGTTTAATAACACATAATCATTTAATATTTTTTCCTATATAATTCTCCACAAACACTGAAACAGAATGCATGGAAAGTACCTTTTTTAGAAGTGAAATTCATTTCTTCCATCCCTGTTATGTCTCACATATACCAAACACTCTTTTAAAATTAATTGATAAATAATGAAAACAATGTTCTGATTATCATCCTTAAAAAGGACTGAAGTTAATAGGTTCCAATAGTAAGAAACCCATTTCTACAGACAGTATCCTTTTTGAAGGGAGAAAGGGGTGGTTTCAGAATAGCTGACTTTGATTAAAGATATGCTTGACACTGATAAATGAAAACAAAACAAAAGATGCTTTCCTGAAGTATGTTTTCATAAATTCATGGTAAAGTCTGAATTCATGTAAGGCTTGGATTCTCTCTCTTCTCTCTCCTCTTTCTATTCTTTTTCTCTCTCCCTGTGTGTGTGTATTTGTCTAAATTATCAAATAAATAGTCCCCAGATTATGATGAATTACACTACTTCATGCTTATTTTAGATGCTAAGCAAAACATTATTCTATGTTGGCTTTAGAAAGTAGTACTGACAGTGTAATTTAATCAGTAATTTGGGGGTTAAGTGTGAGCAAATTATCACAGCTCAAAAATTAAACCAAAAGAACCCAAAGAAGAACTGGAGGTTTTTAGGCTTCTTTACATTCAAATATTTTACTTGATTGATTGATAAAACTTTGTTCTACTTATTAAGCACCTTTTCAAGCAATCTTAATTTCACTTAGTGTCCAGGTAGAAGTATGGGTTGATGGATAGAATTGGTGATATGAACCACAGTAAAAGCAGAAACATAGTTATTCCACAAGCCATCATTGATATAACTGAAAAGAGAAGGCTTGTCTTTATACACTGGAGTACAACGCAAGTACTCAAAATAAACAGAGATGCTCCATAGGACCTTATCAAATTAATCACAAAGAAAATTGAATATATGAGCATACACTTATTTAGAAAAAGAAGGTAGGCAGATTTTTCTTATTGAATCTTTCCAACCCTTAATTCTTCAACATCATTTTGTTTTCTGTATCTGTTGTAGTGATTACCCAATATACCTGCCCCACACCAACATGTTTTTCTTTTCTTTTTTTTTTTTTAAATCTTGTATCTGGAGACTACAATAGAAAATCAGTCCCATTGAGCTAAACATCCAAGTGGCAAGGGGAGGGACAAGTTCCTTAAGGAAGCTTTGGGGACAATCCATATTCTTGCCTTTTCCCAGCTGTGCAGTTCACCTGTATTCTACATTTTAGGCCCCCTTCTTCCATATTCAGAGTGTATCACTCCAATCTGTTTCCTATCTCTTCTCCTAACTCGGCCTCCATCTTCTGAATACCTCATGATTGATTATATTCTTACATACCTCCGTAACCCTGGCTTATATTCCTAAATCAAGTTGCTTATTTTGATTCTATCATCTATGTAAGTGATATCTGTACAAAATCAGAGATTAGTGTGTTGAAAAATTTGGATATTACTCAGGTTAATATTAAGAACTCTGTTAAACATGAGGAAGGCTAAGGAAAGGAAGGAAACAATTCACTAATGACAAAAGGTACTGCTGTTGGAAATTTTCTTCATTTTTTTGACATTTCCTGACATTCTAGTTTTGCCCTAGAAAAGAAGGACAATGGTGCCAAGATGAATAATCTAACTTAAGGTCTAAAAATTCCAGACACATTCATGAGGAAGAAAGTTCTGCAATTAATAAATAGCCAAGAAGATACAAATGATCTCATTTTTGCAACATGCTTCTTGCTTTCAGAAGATACTGGCTCTGCTTTCAGTGCACAAAACCTACAAGTGGAAATCAACCTAACAGCATGAGAAAAAGCATCCATTCTGTTAAGGGCACAGAAATGAACCATGGCAACTGCTACAGGGCAACAACAAACAGCTCTAGCCACCCAATGCCTGTAACACAGTGATTGTTTGAGGCTCTTGTAATCTCCAGAGATGGGGAGATGATACTGAAGCCATCAATTCACTGCTTGAGGAAAGAATTTGCTGCAAGGGAAGAAGTCAATGGATTCAGGTGTTTGATATATTGAGAAACAAGGAACCGACTGTGGCTAGCACTTTTGTCATTCTGTAGCAGAGGTAAAAATCAGAAACTGCGATTACACGCTGCTGGTGGCATTCAAACTGAAAAGGCCTCTAGCTGTGACACTTACTAAGTGCCTCTTCCCTGAGAATAAATACGAACCAAGTGATAACCCAACCTTTCAGACAGTTGTCTCTCCTTAAGGAAACACAGTGATTTTTTTGGTGCACGGGGGAGGGGGGGGGGGAGGGGGGGGGAGGAGGCATTGAAATCAGAACACAAATATGACCAGAAGGAATGAAAACTTTCTTACCCTACAATCTGTTCTGTAAATGCATAAGCAGTTAAAATACAGGTGAGACAGATGGGGAGCAGGGGTTGTGTGTATCCTCAACAAAACCCAAAACCGTGCCAAAACTGGGATGAATTATAAAGGTACCCAATGTAATTTTTAAGCACTGATAAGATTTTTAGGACTATATCTCTTTAGAAAACATGAGCAGGTTTAAAATACACTGGTCATCCCAAGCTGCAGTTTCACTCTCTCTGGGCTCAACATCTCACTGTCAAGAACAGAATGTAAAATAAAAAAAAAAATGTATTATTATAATTCTTTTATGTGATTACAGGTTGGTGTTAATCATTTAACATCCTAATTTATCAATGAATCTATGTATGTATAAGTAAAACACATAGTAGATATAAGATTCAGTGCTTTCTATGGTTTCTAATAGAGGTCTTAGAATTTATTCCCATGGACCTGATAGGCTAGTGTCAGATGGAAGGGGAGGAGGACCTCCCTATCACTGGACTTAGGGGAGAGACATAGGGAGAGAAGTAGGAGGGAGGGCGGGATTGGGAGGAGATGAGGGAGGGAGCCACAGCTGGGCTAAAGTAAATAAATTGTAATAAATAATAAATAAAAAATTAAAGATTTATTCTCGTATAAGAAAGAGCTACTGTTCTACATAATTATATATACATATATATATATATATATTTGCATTAAGAGTCTATGCAATCTTCAGAGATGGCCTTTCATGATCTAAGAAAACAAAGAGTCAGTTCTAAGATGGATTTCTAGTTGTGTCCTTTAAGAGTTTTAAACTCCAAACTCATTTGTTTAATGGGGGATTAAAGCATCACTGTTTTGTGATCAAGTACCGTTAACATTGTTAAGCTTTCACATAGTGATTAATATATGGTATTTTTAAAATGATGATATCATCATCAACAACAAAATCCAGAGCTGTCATTAGCAGCCCTGGAAAGAAGACTTCAATTAATGCAGTGAGCTCTGCATTATCTCACACATACATACATGTATGCCTTTGGAGACACAGACATTTAATTATGCAGAAAAAGCTAGAGTTTCAAGTTGGTCAAAGTTGCTGTTAAAAATACATGCAGCAGCAAATGTTCTGGTGAAGATTATCTTCCCAGTGAACTCATCTAAGAAGAATTTTGCGGTGATTCTCTTATGAGATGCCCACACCCAGTCTAACATACAACTGTCCTTTCTCTCGCCCCTCCATCTTTCCAACACCATTGCTTACATAACTTTAAGCATTAAACTTACATTAAACTTTCTTTTAATACACCACATCCCTTCTTGCTCCCTTACAAAGACTTCGTCTTTCCTAAGTATTGTAGTTCTGAAGATGTTAAGCAAAAATGTTGTGTCTATTTCAATTTAAACTCTTGGACTTTGCTGAAGTTTTTAGGTAAGCAATCCGTCAGAGATGGCAACTCACTTGTCAACTTAGTATTTCATGCACTAGCTTAAGTCATTTGCTTTACCATTCCAAGCTTTGAAAACTTACTTAAAATGATGAAATTAAAGAAATGATTGTGTAGGAGATAAATGTACCTAATGCTTTCCAAAACTCTCTCACATTTCACTTAATGACTTCTACCCAGCATGTGGGAAAAGTTAGTGATTTTCTGGGGCACTTGATATTCATAATATTCCAAAAACACTGTAGAAGGCAGTTTCTGAGTAGGATTTTCTGGTTATTCCCAAAGAAGGATAAGAGGAACATGGAAACTGTATTCCCACCACAGTTTCAAACTGATCATCAGTTATCTCCCACTTTGGTAAAGTTTTAGTTTCATGATGCTTGATATTTCTTTATCATTAGGTTCTGAGCTAACTCTTTCACTATTTTTCAGTCTTTAAAACAAACACACAAGCACAATTCATGTTTGAGGAGAAGGACATGGGCTATTTAGAAACCTGTGTCATCTCTCTTTGACCTGGCCCATTTCTAAATTACAACAGAAGTGGGAAAAAACATTTCATATAGGAATAAAAATCACTCTGAAAATGAAAAGCACAACATATGGACTTAGCCTAGAGTCTGGGTAAAATGCAATATTAAAAGTTCCATACCTTTATATCTCTGTTCCTGAATATGTGTCTATCTCTCTATCATGTAATTCACTTTTTAGAAGTCTACTTTCAGTGCCCCATTCTAGCAGGAGAAAAGGTTAGCACAGAGAGCAGAGAAACATAGAATAGCATAATAAAGGGTTCAGGCTGCAGATCACCGAAGTTTAAAGATAGCCTGGGTGAAGACAGCGTTAGATGAGAACCTAAGACAGCTCTCTGAAACCTATGCAAGAACAAGCCCGAAACAGTTTCACTTCCCCCAGCAAAGCCTAGCCCTAGCCTTGTGGCCTGAGCCCCTGGGCTGCATTTCCGGCAAGCTTGGGCCACCGTCCCTGGGGTAGGAAACAAGCTGCCACAGACTAGCAGAGCTCAGGTCTTCAGGGGACATTGCAGTTCCCAGGCCTCTGGCTCCAATCTCCAGCAATGCTTCCTGTGGCTTCTGGCACTAGGGGCAGCAGCCAGGACCTGTTCCCAGCTAGCCTAGCTTCTCCAGGTGGGTGGTCTCATATTCCTCCGGGCTTGTGTGGAGGGGAAAAGATGACCCTGGCGCCCTTCTGAGAATAATGATTCCCAGTTGACAGTTTGTCCTGGAGCTACCAAGACCAGGGTGTCTTTAAATGGGGCCTCTGTTTTCCCCAGCATAGCAATTCTGAAAGACTTCTTCATCTTGAACTGCTCTGATGGAGCCTTTAAGCCAGCAGGTGGGAGTGAATTTCCAATTCTAGCAGCTTCCAGTACCTGCCTGTGCCACTGCTGAAGAATAACAAGGACTTTTCCTGAGTGCTCCAGGAAGCGCCCAGTCCATTTTTAAGATCATTTTGCACACTGCGTTAAAGCTAGATCTCATGTGAAATGTATATAAATGGAGCCAAATGCCCCATTTGTAACAATCTTGCCCATCTACCTGCCTCATGCCAATCTGTATAGAAGCACCTCCCTGGAGCCCTGAGTTCGTGAAAAAAGGAAAGGTGTCAATTTGGTTGAATGTGTCAGTGAGTTTACTTTCAAGTGAATGCTAGGGGGTTGCTTTGAGTTTCTTTTGGTTTTATTTTCAAATGCATTTGCAAGTCTTAGAATAAGCACTAAAAATGGTTAACTTTGGTAAAGAAATTTCACCCAAATATTATAGGAGATGTTTCTGATGAGAAATTATAGTCATTGTTTTAATTTACTAGACAGAATTAAATTCCTCATAGCTTTTTTTTCCTCCTTTCTTTCTTTAGAAAAGGTAGGGTGATTTTGGCTTTAGTTGCTTTAGGATCTGATCTACTTCTAATAAATGTGAACAGTTTTTTTTTTTTTCAATTAAAATGGGGAATGTATTTATTACAATGGAAATGACCTGAGATAAGTTGGAACCGGTGATGCAGGGACACAATTAGTACTGGATGCTGTCGTGTTCTTCAGCACCACATAGCCAGGGTCTGGGGCGAAGTAGCCTCTGCAATCACATACACAGACATCATCACTCTTTTGGACCCTGAGCAAGTGGCCTCTCTTGTAATTTTAACAATTGAGTTAAATAGAACATGCCAGAAGATGCCTTTTTGATTGACAGACTCTCAAGTTAGTGCGCGGAGACAGTGGTTATTCTGAGCAACATGGGTGATATGAAGAGATGTTTATGTCCTGCTGAGTGTTCTTGCGTCTCCATGTGTTTCTCCTCATCCTTTTGGTCCTTCTCAACGTTGTATTTAGCTCTTGCTTCAGTTACCTCCTTATGGACAGGAATGTCTCCCTGGCAGTGAGTAGTATTTTGACTTAACGCAGTCCCAGTCCACTTATGCAAGTAATCTTCTAAGTAAACTGGTTCTCTTTTTATTAGTTAAATTTGTCTGTACACCATTTTCTAAGTGTATACAACTCATCCTCTGCCTCCCCACCATCCTGTCTATCTCATCTCCTCCACAGAAATCTTTTTTTAGATTGTAGTTTTATTTTAATTATAATTTAAAATTTATAAAAATTAAGGTATACATTTTAATTGTTTAGGATTACACTAAGTGGCAGTAGATGATTTTTTTGTTCTTATTTTTGGTTTTGATTGTTTTTGTCCAGCAATGTTCAGTAATTCTTTTTTTAAATTTTTTTAAATATTTTTAAATATTAGTTACACTTTATTAACTTTGTATCCCAGCTGTATCCCTCTCCCTCATTCTCTCCCAATCCCTCATCTCCCCCCTGCCCCTTTCCAAGTCCACTGATCATCTGACCCTGGTTTATCAGGTATCTTCAGGACTGGCTGCAAAGTCCTCCTCTGTAGCCTAGGAGGGCTGCTCCTCCCTCAGGGTAGTGGAAGGTCAAAGAGCCTGCCATTGAGTTCATGTCAGAAATAGTCCCTGTTCTCCTTGCTAGGGTACCCACTTGGATACTGAGCTACCATGGGCTACCACAGAGGGCCTCTGAAAGACTCTACCTAGCAGTGTATCAAAGCAGATACTAAGGTTCATAACCAAACCTTCTGTAGAGTGCAGAGAATCATAAGAAAGAAGGGGGAGTTAATATGACCTGAAGAGGACAGGAGCTCCACAAGGACCAAATATATCTGGGCACGGGGTCTTTTCTGAGACTGTTACTCCAACAAAGACCATGTATGGATATAACCTAGAACCTCTGCTTGGATGTAGCCCATGGTAGCACAGAAATCTTACTTTCATGTTCCTGTCTACTACTTTCATTTTGTGACCCCCGGAGGTTAACCATGTCCTATGTAAGCATGAGTCTGAAGCTGCCTTTGGTGACTGCTAACTCCCTAGCAGGTACCCAATTAAAGACAGGGTCTCCCATCTCCCAGAAGGAGGAGGGGGCTCACGGGGCCTCTTTAACCTCTTCATCTTGTTTATTAAGTGGAGACCATTTGTGTGAGATGTTTTTCTCAGCACAGGAATGATGTTAGCTTAACGTGGTATGGGGGAGGGGAGGATCCCTCCCCCTCAACCGCATCCCTTCCAAGAAAAGAAACCTGCTGCTCAGAGAGAGAGAGAGATTCCCATGCTCAGACAAGCAGTAAGCATCAGCGGGTCATCCCAGTCATCTTCTCACCAGCCACCATGTGTCTCCTCATTAGAGTTGTGTGGCAATAAATGTAAAGTAGTAAACGTGTTTTGACACTCATGAAGACATTACTTATAACAACCATTTCCACACATTCTGTTGTCAAGAGTTGTCCTCACCATTAAGGGTCCAATTAGTCCTTCCGTGGTAGATGGCTTAATAATCAGTACTAAAGCAGAGTAGACAAAAGGTACAATGAGTGGAAGCTTGATTTAGAATGTGTCTTTTGATTTATATTGAACTAGTTATGGTTTAATAACATCAGAAAGGGGACCCTTCCTCTGTTTCATTCTAATGCCAATGCTTTTTAAAGTTTTTAAAAACTGCTAATGCCAGGCAGTGATGGTATACACTTTCAATCTTATCACTCAGGAGGTAGAGCCAAGTGGGTCTCTTCAGTTCAAGGTTATCCTAGAATAACCTTGGTCTACAGAACAAGTACCAGGACAGCTAGGGCTGCACAAAGAAACCCTGTCTTGGGAAGCAAACAACAACCAGACAGACAAAACAAAAAGAACCAAACTAAACCTAAAGCAAAATAACCAAAAAAAAAAAAAAAAAAAAAAAAAAAACCCTGCTACTTTCTTAGATAAAATCTAATTTAAAGTTTAAATTATTTGTCCTGTACTTTAAAAATTTTTAGTTGGTATTATTTGTTACATGGTCCCTGTGAAAACAGAAAACGTTAAAGATTAGAAGCAATGTGTACCCCTACTCACCACATGCTAAACACTTAGCCACAGCTTTCGTGAAGCATGGCTAAGTCTGGCCCTCTAAGTTCAGAGGATTCACATCACTTTCTGCCACTATAATCTGTACTTATCCTACTAAGCAAAACCCTGGTTCTATTCAGGTTCCAGGCAAAACTTGCTTTTCATAACGTAGCATTGAAAGGTTCTGATTAGGTCACCTGGGCTGCGAATTAAAGAAGAAAACCCCTTTAGAAAATTTTCACTTAAGTATAAACTAGTTTAGTAATGAGTAATTACTAAAGAGGTTAGGCTCAGTACCAGGATGGTAGGGGGACACTGGAATAGCAGTGCCCATGGCACACACTTTAGTGAGCACCTATCTACCAGAGATGCCTCCAGGTGCAGACTGTCTCAGACCCAGACTGACCTTCACTGTAATCATTGGGAATCATTTTTATTTGCTTATTCCAAAACAGAGTCTGTGGAAACTGTCACACATATTTGGAGGTTGCTTTTGAGAATTGAAAGAGAAAATGCAGATAATGTCCTCCTTAGTGTGCCATAGATGTTGCTTTAATTCTTAGATCATTGCTTACTAGGGTCATAATTACGTATTAAGGGATAAGTTGTTGCTGGGCATCACGGTCTGTCAATACCAACCTGTGGCAGGCTAAGAGGCAAGTATGGGCTCCGTGAGTGATTCCAGGGCACCCTGAGCTACACGATGAAACCCTGTCTCAAACAGAGAAATTACAAAAGATAAAAAGTTTACACTGAGAAGCCTTTCCATCTGGTTTTGTAGATAGCTTAATGACTGAACAATTTGAGAACTGGGAAAAAAAATAGAAGGCATAGCTTCCTGTGTGAGATACTGTCATGCCTGTGGGGAAATGCATGGTTAGCACTTCTAGGAAAAGAAGCAGAGGAGTCTACTACTGAGAGGCACCCAGGGCAGATAGAGTCAAAGAATATGAAGCTGTAGCAGTTTTCACGAAATTAAAACAGGAATTAATAAGTCAAAATGAGAGTACACCCCAACTCAACTAACATATGATATAGGGGAAAGTATCAAAAATTGTGAAATGTTTTAAATTGTTTGAAGAGGAATAATCTGCTTTCTCAATATTTACTGTTGGCTTTAAAATTTTCCAGTCAAAGCCAGGCATGATGTCATAGGAGGGAGACAGAGGCAGGCAGATCAATTTGAATTCAGGGCTAGCCTGTCCGACTTAAATGAGATCAAGGACAGCTAGGGCTACGCAGTGAGACTGTCTTTTTTAAATGTCCTGTCTGAAGTTAGAAGCATGCTATGTATGTTGGGGCAAGAGATGGTGGCTCAGTGACTCAGCGGGAAAAGCCGATTGTTACCAAAACTAACGGCCTGAGTTTGAGATCTAGATCCCACAGGGTGGAAGGAGAGAACTTGACTCCAACAAGTTATCCTCTGATCTTCATTCACATGAACCGTGGCACATGCATACAATGTCCATGTGCAGAGACACAGTCTAAATTAAAAATAAAGGATGAAAGGACCACTTTTCTGGCCACACATAAGTTGTCTACGCTGTTTATGTTCACAGTTTACCTGATTGTTGCCCAACCCTCTGAGTTGCCTTTGTTATTTTATTACATTACTTTTAGGTTGTCAGATGTCTTAAAATGATTTTTGGAAACAGCTGTGAAAAAATAGGGAGCGAAAATATTTTCTAGGCATCCTTGTTGAAACACAAGTTGTTATTTGACATCA